CTCACGACGTTTCGGCCACAACGCAAGCAGCCGTCCTCAGGTGACTTTACCGAAAGAACCAAGAAGATGAATCCCTGCAGTCACGAAAGAAGCTTTAAATCGAAAAAGCTGTCAGGTTCACATAAGTTCCATTATCGAGGGGCCTTTTCTTCCTATTCGATTATCCCCGACTTTTTCATTAGTCATTGCAGAACGGCATCCTGTAATCTGAGATTTTTGGCAGATAAGAGTCCCACGGCACATACGTCAATAAAGAATTGTTGGGACATTATTTGTTCAGACCGTTATAAGGAATCATGAACGTCTAAGACAATGAATGATTGTCCTCTTGAAAGATCAATTGTCTGCAAAACGAAAGACACAGTTATATTCTTAGGTTTTTTTCGGTAAAGTCACCAGGTAGGTAAAAAAACATTAAAAAGTAAAATAAAATAAAAATCACGACGTTTCGAAGGCAACACAAGCTTCCGTCTTCAGGTGGAACCGTCACAGCCACGACAGCCGTATCAAGTAAATGAGAGATTGCAAGAGCTACCACTCCGTTTATATAATGGTTGGAGAAAGTGGTGGGGCAAGGGCCGCATATTTTTATTAATATGGTAAGGTGAGGCTTGAGACTAAGAGTAGACTGCATAACAAAGGCTGAGACTGGTGGTAGTGGGGGTGGTGGTAGTGGGGGTGGTGGTGGTAGTGCTGGTGGTGGGGGGGTGTGGTGGTAGTGGTGGGTTGGTAGTGGGGGTGGTGGTAATGGTGGTGGGGGTGGTGGTGGTGGTGGTGGTAGTGGTGGTAGTGGTGGTGGTAGTGGGGGGTGGTGGTAATGGTGGTGGGGGTGGTGGTGGTGGTGGTTAGTGGTGGTAGTGGTGGTGGTAGTGGGGGTGGTGGTAGTGGTAGTGGTGGTGGTAGTGGTGGTGGTAGTGGTGGTAGTGGGGGTGGTAGTGGTGGTGGTGGTGGTGGTAGTGGTGGTGGTAGTGGGGGTGGTAGTAGTGGTGGTAGTAGTGGTAGTGGTGGTGGTGGTAGTGGTAGTGGGGGTGGTAGTGGTGGTAGTGGTGGTAGTAGGGGTGGTAGTGGTGGTGGTAGTGGTGGTGGTAGTGGTAGTAGTGGTAGTAGTGGTGGTAGTGGGGGTAGTAGTGGTGGTAGTGGTGGTGGTAGTGGGGGTGGTAGTGGGGGTGGTAGTAGGGGTGGTAGTGGTGGTAGTGGTGGTAGTGGGGGGTGGTAGTGGGGGTGGTAGTGGTGGTAGTAGTGGTGGTAGTGGGTGGTAGTGGTGGTAGTAGTGGTGGTAGTGGGGGTAGTAGTGGTGGTAGTAGTGGTGGTAGTGGTGGTGGTAGTGGTGGTGGTATTGGGGGTGGTAGTGGTGGTAGTGGTGGTAGTGGGGGTGGTAGTGGGGGGTGGTAGTGGTGGTAGTGGTGGTAGTAGTGGTGGTAGTGGTGGTGGTAGTGGTGGTGGTAGTGGGGGTGGTAGTGGTGGTGGTAGTGGGGGTGGTAGTGGGGGTGGTAGTGGTGGTAGTGGTGGTAGTAGTGGTGGTAGTGGTGGTGGTAGTGGTGGTGGTAGTGGTGGTGGTAGTGGGGGTGGTAGTGGTGGTGGTAGTGGGGGTGGTAGTGGGGGTGGTGGTAAGGCTGAGTCTTTGTTATGGAGAGCTGCGGTTTGTGACTCAACCTGTGACAGCGTAGACCCCCACTAGACATGGTAAAACTGTGATGGTTGTCTGTCAAATAAGATTGGCAAATAAGTGTAGTTAAATCTTTTTTTGCATGGTTGCCACTGGCATTCCCACTGACTTTTCTCAGTCGTTCCCCTCCTGCGCCTGATCGAATGTCCGCCATGAGAGCGTCTCTTTCTGTCTCGCGTTCAACAGCTGCCGATATCTTCTGCAGATTTTCACCCGAAACCTAGAATATGATGTGACAACAACCAGCACATTCGTGGAAATGTGTACAACGTTTTACATTTTCTTGGTTCTTTCGGTAAAGTCACGTAGTAGGGAAGTAAGAAAGAACCAAGAAGATGAATCCCTGCAGTCACGAAAGCTTTAAATCGAAATTTAACGTTTTACATTAGCGAGGTAAATGTTTAAGATAACTTTAATTATACACATGCAATAATAGTTAAAAAGTACATTTTATTTACGATAGACACACATTTAGACACACATTTTCCGTGCTTACTACAATATTTTAAATGTGACGATGTAGACAAAGTCGTCTGACTTTGTCTACATCGGCTGCTTGCGTTGTAGCCGAAACGTCGTGAGAATTATTTTATAATGTTTTATTTTCATTATTTTATTACTTCCCTTCTACGTGACGACTTTACCGAAAGAACCAAGAAGATGAATCCCTGCAGTCACGAAAGAAGCTTTAAATCGAAATTTAACGTTTTACATTAGCGAGGTAAATGTTTAAGATAACTTTAATTATACATATGCAATAATAGTTGCAAATTAATTACATTTTATTTACGATAGACACACATTTTCCGTACTTATTACAATATTTTAAATGTGACGATGTAGACAAAGTCGTCTGACCTTACTCAACCTGCCCGTGTTGTCTGTAGACTGAAGTGCTTCCATCAGGGAACGGTGTGGATTGTCACCCTTCAGAATTGGCTTTTGCACCACAGGATTTAACTTCCGCATCGGTCCAAACAGACCAGCATCTTCACCTGATGGTTTTCTCTGCTCATAAGTGACACTGGGACTTTCCAGTGCGGTTCCCGTGGCATTTAAAGCTGTGGGAGGCTGATAGAAAGGACTTGCATCTGTGGCGTTTGAAGAACTGAGAACAGACTGGATTTGAGACGAGTTAGACGCTGATTTTACATTAAAAGTGTGTCCGCCACTTCTAGATTTGAAGCTACTTGGTTGAGAACTCACCGTAGGTGGTGACTTGTCAGCAAGGACGGTGTTCTTAGACTCTAAATGACCAGACTGTACACTCACGCCGGATGGCTTGTCATCTTTGAATCTGACACTTGGGAAACGGACTGGCCTAAATACTTTTGGCTTCCATTGATAAACTCGTGGTGCCTGAATCATAAACACCTTCCCTGGGTCACCTGGGGAATTTGGAATGTTGGCATTTTCATCCGTAGAAAACTGTGATGATGGTGGAATTATGAGCTCATCCGGTTCACAATTCACCTGAATTGGTGGCAAAGCATCCACAGGCGTTGTCTCTGTTGTGGTTGTGCCACTGCAAGTTTCACTTGGAGCATCGACGGACTTGCAGGCTGTCTTCTCGACAACGGAAGATGCCACGTAGGGGCTGGATGGTCTCCTGAAGGGACGGGAAAATGCATCTTGCTTCGAGCGAGACGGTGGAGATTCGGCAATGCTGGCGAGTGGCACGGTGACTTTGACAGCAGACTGCTGCCGAGATGTTGTCTCTGTGGTGGTACGCCAGAGGGAATGGGACCTCTGGAATGGACGCGCCACGACTGAGAGCCCTGATAAAGGAGGAATCGATGGTGGAGAAATCACTTGCAACCGATGTGCTGTTTGCTGTTGCGGATTGGCTGTAATGTCACCGATCTTCGCTGTTGAGTCATATTTCGTCTTTTCTTTGAACTCTGTCGTAGTATCGGTCGCAGTGGCATTTTCAGTCTTGCTGGGTTCTGTTTCATAAGGTGGTAGACGGAATGGGACATCGGCTGTTTTAGGTTTTGGTCTTATGACTGGCTTGTAAGGAACAATTCTGTAAGTGGGCAATGCCACTTTGGGAATGTGATCTCTGGTGATGTTATTTGTGGACCTCCACCGATCTAAAGGCTGCTTGTAGACAGTAAGAACTGGAGAAAATGGTTCAGCTGAATTAGACTGATATTCAACTTCAGGTGCACATGGCTCTTTTGAAATTGATCGTGGTGTCTTGTAAAAAATTGAAGCCTCAGGCTCGTTTGACGGGTCCGTTGCCGGCTGTGAAGTTTTATTTATTTCGGATACTTGTTCACTTTTAAAGCTTTCTGAAAGATATAATTTTTCTGATGGTTTAGTAGTTAGCCTTTCTCCTGCAATAACCTTGCAAACTTTGTTTGGTTCAACTATTTCCTCTCGAGCTCCTGCAATTTCTCGACGGATTTCTGCTGGCTGGATCAATACGGACTCTTCCACGCATGCCTTGCGTTTTTGCGTTACCAGTTGTTTTTTATACCGTTCGCATGACGCACTCTGTCGTTCCGCAGGTATACTCTCTACTTGCTCGTCCACAGACTTGGCATGTGCTACAGGGATTTTCTCCACACGCGCATTTAGAAAGCTTTCGTTTTTAACGGGCATTATACCTAGACACTTTAGGCTTCCTCCGTGCCTGTCTGCCCTGCTTAACTCACTTTTTGGTTTGGTGGATACGTCAGGGAAAGCCATAGAAAACCTTTTATGTCTGGGGTCTTGTTCACCCACTACACAAGCAGATGCTTTTGCAGTGGCCCCAGAAAAAGACCCACGCTGGGTAGGTTTGTATTTAAGGTCACGTTGCTGGGCCAATGCAGATTTCTGAAAGTCGACTTTTTCTTCACGACCATCCTTTCTCTGCCTAACAGGTGGCTTCTCAGAAACCCGTTGCACATTTGCAGCGTTGAGAAACCGCACAGTTTCTTTTGAAGGTCCTCCTTTGACGTCTGTTGCCACATTGGCAGGTTCTTTTGAAGGTCCTCCTTTGACATCTGTTGCCACAATGGCAGATTCTTTTGAAGGTCCTCCTTTGACATCTGTTGCCACATTGGCAGGTTCTTTTGAAGGTCCTCCTTTGACGTCTGTTGCCACATTGGCAGCTTCATTTGAAGGTCCTCCTTTGACGTCTGTTGCCACATTGGCAGCTTCTTTTGAAGGTCCTCCTTTGACGTCTGTTGCCACATTGGCAGCTTCTTTTGAAGGTCCTCCTTTGACTTCTGTTGCCACATTGGCAGCTTCTTTTGAAGGTCCTCCTTTGACGTCTGTTGCCACATTGGCAGCTTCATTTGAAGGTCCTCCTTTGACGTCTGTTGCCACAATGGCAGATTCTTTTGAAGGTCCTCCTTTGACGTCTGTTGCCACATTGGCAGCTTCTTTTGAAGGTCCTCCTTTAACGTCTGTTGCCACATTGGCAGATTCTTTTGAAGGTCCTCCTTTGACATCTGTTGCCACATTGGCAGTTTCTTTTGAAGGTCCTCCTTTGACATCTGTTGCCACGTTGGCATTTGCTGATAAAACAGGATACTCTGTCTCGTTGTTTACATCTACTTTATCGGCATTATTGGAGCCGCTGTCTGCAGGTGGCTTTTATTGCTGCTGAATCTGGAAGGGCTGCCTCTGGCTTTCTCACCGGCTCTGCAATAAAATTAACGTCAGCCTCCGCTTTAATTATGTTTACAGTCTCCACACTGGCGGAACTGCTCTCAGACCTCAAGTCATCATCTGCAAAACAAGACAAAAGCATACATATCATACGATGTTTAAAATCACAAATGCCACACCAATGATGCCCCGTAAATTTTTCAGAAAATGGTTATATTATGCAAATTCCTTTGTCAAGGCGCCCAGCTTATATACATGCTCCAAGCTCGTGTGCTGTTTCATTCAGACGCTGTCGCCTCGACAGACCTGGTTTTCACCTGAGGACGGCTGCTTGCGTTGTGGCCGAAACGTCGTGAGAATTATTTTATTATGTTTTATTTTTATTATTTTATTACTTCCCTTCTACGTGATGACTTTACCGAAAGAACCAAGAAGATGGTTATGTTATCAAAGTGCATCTGCTCTTCACTTATTGCACGCTTTATGAATAACACAAAATTTTGTCACGTGTTAAGTATTTTATTTCGATTTAAAGCTTTCGTGACTGCAGGGATTCATCTTCTTGGTTCTTTCGGTAAAGTCACGTAGAAGGGAAGTAATAAAATAATAATTGTGCTATATTATTCTTATTTCCACGACGAACCATTGTGTGTGTAAAAGCACTCACCCATCAGCCCCATTTCAAGTTCAGCAATCAACTGATCTAGTTCAGCGGTTGCTGCAGCGTCAGTGTCCGCCTGCACCAGGTCGGATGAACATTCTTGCACCGTGTTATCGGCTAAGTCCCTGCACCGACATTAATAATCAGCACAAATGACATAGGACACGTGTTCTTTTAGCATAACAGGACACTTCACATTACACAAACTGAGCCTTTCAATGCATATAAATTGAAATGAAGCAACGTGTCACATCATAGTAATAGGTTTTTACCCTTTCAACTGGTACAAAAACTGACACCTTTATACGAGGGGTCATGTTTGCAATAACCACAACACAAGCAGTCGAAATGCAAACAAAAAATTAACCCGTAAAAACACAAAGTTTTTCACTCTAAATCCTTTATATGCGTGGCGGCTAGAGTCCTCTCGTCCTCTGGCTTGAGATGGCTGCCACCTATGGGTCAGATGATTGCCTGGCACCATTAAGCAATTGGTAATTAAATATAATATTTTTGTCCTAAAAAGTGTAAAATTTTAGAATTTTTTTTTCACGAACATTAATTGTCACGCACAACGAGTCTGTGGAAAATGTCAGCTCGATTGGATCACGGGAAGTGGGTTAAAAAACGACCGAAAGATTTGCACGGTCCTAAGCAAGCAAGCGAACTTAATATAAAGGATTACAAAAAACACAACTCTGATAATGATTATGATATGCACTGTCCTTGAAGTTGATTGGTCCACACCCGAGACAGCTTTCCTTAGAGCCTAGTCTCCATTGGTGTTGGACCAGGTGTCATCTGGTCTATGACTATATTTTGCCACTGCTAAAGGAGGTCTCATAGTGTAAAGGTGTCACATGTAAAAATTGCATATTGCGATGCCTTACTGGGCTTGTTGAGATGCGCCACAGGAAGTCTTCCGTGTCTCAGACTTGGCGGAGGTTTCTTGTTCAAGCCTACGGAGTGCCGCTTCAGGCACGCACTGTTGCTTTGCGACATTGGAATCACTGCCCATTCCACCACCACCCTCGTTCAAAGTTGTTTCTACAGCAGTAATACATGTCAAACAACATATGAAATACGATCCATTAACCACTGTGGATATGAACACCATAATGCACTTCAAAACGTTGAACAATGTTTGTTTTGTTTACGAGTGATGTGAATCCATTTTCTCCGTAAAAGTGAATGTTCATACAAACTACGACTAACAGCCTAACGACAAAAACTTACAAAATCATCACGAGTTCGACTTCCCTAATCGATATTCTTAGGTTTTTTCGGTAAAGTCACCGTGTAGGTAAAACATCAAAATTAATGAAAATAAAATAAAAATCACGACGTTTCGGAGGCAACACAAGTCTCTGTCATCAGGTGGGACCGTCACAGCCGGATTAGCTGCATCAAGTGAGGCGATGATTCAAGATGTAATCCCTTAAAAGCAAGTTAGCCCCGCCTCCCTCCCTCCCGATACGTTCCATTCATTGGCTACCACATTCTGATGAGCTCCTCCCCCCTCAAACGGCTGATGCCTCGCAGCGGAAGCAGAACGGTAAGCCGGGATCGCCTGGTGGGGATTCGCAGTTTTTAAATCCTTCATATTAAGTTCGCTTGCGTGCTTGCTTAGGACCGTGCAAATCTTTCGGTCGTTTTTTAACCCACTTCCCGTGATCCATTCGAGCTGACATTTTGCACACAGACTCGTTGTGCGAGACAATTAATGTTCGTGAAAAAAAAATTCCAAAATTTTACACTTTTTAGGACAAAAAATTATATTTAATTACCAATTGCTTAATGGTGCAATGCAATCATCTGACCCATAGGTGGCAGCCATCTCAAGCCAGAGGACGAGAGGACTCTAGCCGCCACGCATATAAAGGATTTAGAGTGAAAAACTTTGTTTTTACGGGTTATACTTTTTAAATCCTTATATTAAGTTCACTTGCTTGCGTGCTTAGGACCGTGCAAATCTTTCGGTCGTTTTTTAACCCACTTCCCGTGATCCATTCGAGCTGACATTTTCCACACAGACTCGTTGTGCGTGACAATTAATGTTCGTGAAAGTTTTTTTCCAAAATGTTACACTTTTTAGGGAAAAAATATTATATTTAATTTCCAATTGCTTAATGGTGGCAGGCAATCATCTGACCCACAGGTGGCAGCCATCTCAAGCCAGAGGACGAGAGGACTCTAGCCGATGCCACGCATGTAAAGGATTTATAGTGAAAAACTTTGTTTTTACGGGTTATACTTGTTCAGCGATCAAACAGGGTTGCTCATGGGTATGGATAGCTTGTCGTGCCGACATCCCTACGTGGCGATCTTATCCGCACTCTGCACGCTGACAAATTGATGCATCTCGGCGTGCAAAAGACGTCCCTTGCAACGCAGCGAGACTTCTTTTGGCGCGGTATGACAGTGGATGTTGCCAAGGCTATCCGGGCGTGCCCTGAATGTACAAGGCGGAAACCGGCACGTCAAAATTGCGTACCGCCGTTAAAGTCTGTTGAGGTATCTCGAATTAATGAGCTGGTCGCTCTAGATATTCTCGGGCCGTTTCCCACTTCGGCTAGGGGTATTTCTCTTGGTCGCGGTGACTGAGGACAGATCTAGTGGGGCTCACAAGGCAAATGCGATAGCAGCAGAGGTCTCGTTGAAAGAAGACGGTTGAAGACAAACAAAACTGCATGCACACTTGGAACATGTTTGCTTACATTCTCCCCTGTGTAAACATGATCTTGACAAATTCAGTTCAGGTATTGTGCCTAAGCAGTTCTACTGCACTAAAAGCAACACTGAACAAACAGAAGCTTTTTAAACATACTTTGTAGATTAAATAAAAAATTAACCCGTAAAAACAAAGTTTTTCACTATAAATCCTTTATATGCGTGGCATCGGTTTTGTTTAGTTATTCATTTCTGTTTTTCTTGAGTAAGAGTTTCATTTTTATCACATTGGTATTTTAAATTAAATATAAGGAAAGTCGTATATAAGGACATTGGTCTTTGAAACGGGAGGCTAGAGTCCTCTCGTCCTCTGGCTTGAGATGGCTGCCACCTATGAGTCAGATGATTGCCTGCCACCATTAAGCAATTGGTAATTAAATATATAATTAGTTTTTCCTAAAAAGTGTAAAATTTTGGAATGTTTTTTTCACGAACATTGTCACCCACAACGAGTCTGTGTGCAAAATGTCAGCTCGATTGGATCACGGGAAGTGGGTTAAAAAACGACCGAAAGATTTGCACGGTCCTAAGCAAGCAAGCAAGCAAGTGAACTTAATATAAAGGATTAAAAAATGTTGGTTGATGGCACAGCTAAAATTTCCACATTTGAATATAGCCAAAAGCGCTCCATCGCAAAAAAATTAATCAGTCTTGTATGGATACAACTATAAGAGCGCGTCTTCTTGTTTTTTCGGTAAAGTCACGTAGAAGGGAAGTAATAAAATAACAAAAATAAAACATAATAAAGTGAGATTTATTTTATTTTATTATTTTATTACTTCCCTTCTACGTGATTTTACCGAAAAAACCAAGAAGATGAATCCCTGCAGTCACGAAAGCTTTAAATCTAAATATTATATTATTATATTATAATATTATTTAAATATAGAATAACATTACTTTGATATTTTATTATTTTATTTAATAATATATTTTTTATTTTTATCATTTTATTATTTCCATTCTACGTGACTTATCGAAATATGATATTATTATATTATAGTATAATATTATTTAAATATAGAATAACATTATTTTGATATTTTATTATTTTATTTTATTATATATATTTTTTTATCATTTTATTATTTCCCTTCTACGTGACGACTTTACCGAAAAAACCAAGAAGATGAATCCCTGCAGTCACGAAAGCTTTAAATCAAAATATTAGAGCGCTTGATAACAAAACTCGAAGTTGAAGATGTGAGCACGCGAGAGCTCACCTGTGGAGCTGCTCCGCCTTCGATGCTGATTCTCCGCGCTCGGCGTCACAGGAGAAGAGGATCCGGGCTGCGAGAACGCCGCCGAAGAATGTTCTGGGGCAGATCTCGGGGGTGGCGACGATGGCGGTGTCGATTCGGCGGCGGTGGCGGTGGCCTCAGTCGAAGATGCGGCCAACGGTGCAGCGGGCGGCTGGCTTCTTCTGGTCTCCGGTGCGAGGCGCGGCTGGTCTGGAGAGCTCTGAGCAAGAAACACAAAGTTGGTGAGAGATTTAGATTGAAAGCTTCTTTCGTGACTGCAGGGATTCATTTTCTTGGTTCTTTCGGTAAAGTCGTCACGTAGAAGGGAAATAATAAAATGATAAAAATATAACATTTTATGTTTCGATTTAAAGCTTTCGTGACTGCAGGGATTCATCTTCTTGGTTCTTTCGGTAAAGTCACGTAGAAGGGAAATAATAAAAAGATAAAAATATAATAAAATAAAATCATAAAATATCAAAATAATGTTATTCTATATTTAAATAATATTATACTATAATATAATAATATAATATTTTGATTTAAAGCTTTCGTGACTGCAGGGATTCATCTTCTTGGTTCTTTCGGTAAAGTCACGGGTAGCCGGGTATCCGTTTGCGACCCTGGTGCGGCCGGGTACGGGTAGGCCGTGAGTCACCGGTGAGTCACCGTTTGTCACTCATTTCGGGTAGGGTACGGGTAGGGAACGGCTACCCGTACCCGGCCGGGTACGGGTACGGGTAGGCCGTGAGTCACCGCTGAGTCACCGTTTGTCACTCATTTCCCAACGTCTTGTCTCTTCTCACAATTCAAGTTCCTAGAATCAACCCACCCGCGCATTTGCAACATGGCTTCATCCCAGAGGTCGCAACCGGGTACCCGATACCCGTACCCTACCCGTACCCGGCTGGGTACAGGTAGGGTACGGGTACGGCTGGGTACGGGAACCCGTTTGCGACCCTGGTGCGGCTGGGTACGGGTATCGGGTAGGGTATGGGTACGGGTAAGGAATCAAAACCCGTTTGCGACCTCCGGTTTGCGTCATGTTCTGTAAATAACAAACTGGAGAGGCCCACATTGATCTTGGCATTAAGCATGCACATGCTTCGAATTGAAATGCACACTGTACTGTATGCATGTGCAGAGGTGTCACGGAGGGCTTAACAAACACACTGGGCGTGGTATTGCCCGTACGCCGAGAGGCGCTTACATCCACGTCCGCACCGTTGAGCCTGGGGGGCTGACACGGAGCTGGGATCCCCCACGGCCCCACCCCTCAGTGGGGGAGTTGCTATACGAGGCGGTGAGCCGGAGGGCTCGGGGTTCAGTGTTCAGCCTTAACCAGCGAAGCAAGAAGAGCGGCTAGACAGGCCCTGGGACTTCCCTGAATCGCCGTCCTTCTCAGGAGCGACCAGGGCAAGCCGGTGGCGTGGCCCCCAGAGCCCAGAGCCGATGCTCTTGTCAGAGCCGGTCTGGGGACTCAGGGTGCCGTGATCCCAGCTTGACCACGGCTGGGTCAGCGAGCCTCCCCTAGCCCGGTAGTGGAGGACCTGGGAGTAGGCTAGCCGGGATAGAGATAGTGTGATCTCCCAGTTAGACGGGTGACGGGGCCGGTCTGGGGACTCAGGGTGCCGTGATCCCAGCTTGGCCAGAGCTGGGTTAGCTAGCCTCCCCTAGCCTGGTAGTGGAGGACCTGGGAGTAGGCTAGCTGCGACGTAGAGCGTTGATCTCCCAGTTAGACGGGTGAAGGGGCCGGTCTGGTGACTCAGGGTGCCGTGATCCCAGCTTGGCCAGAGCTGGGTCAGCTAGCCTCCCCTAGCCCGCTAGTGGAGGACCTGGGAGTAGGCTAGCTGTGACGTAGAGCGTTGATCTCCCAGTTAGACAGGTGAAGGGGCCGATACACTTATTCTCCGTGTCGTTGTACATAATATTTCGATACTTTGCGAGGTTATTTAATTTTAGTTTGTTTCTGTCTCCCTCTAAGCCTGCGTACTTCTCTACGCGTCTCTTCGTACTCATTGACACGTACATTTTGTCTCTGCCCCCCCTCCCTCTCTCTGCCTCCGCCCCCCTCTGTCAATTTAAGGCCTCGCCACAGAGACGATCACCCCTCTCTGTGCCTGTGTTACTCTCTCTCTGTGTATCTTGGTGATGTCTGTCTGCTTATATGTCTGTCTGTAGTTTTCTGGTTAGATTTTATGTCGCTATTTCATTTATACCTGATCACGATTGCTTGTGTTGCAATCGAAACGTCGTATGCTATTATTTAATTTATTATTTTTTCTTTAGACGTGACTTTACCGAAAGAACCAAAGAATAATCCCTGCAGTCACGAAAGCTCCAAAATCAAGATTGTACCGATTATATATAAAGTACAATGTTAGTGGTTTAGAAAGTTCTTACCTTTTTTAAATCCTTTATATTAAGTTCACTTGCTTGCTTGCTTACGACCGTGCAAATCTTTCGGTCGTTTTTTAACCCACTTCCCGTGATCCAATCGAGCTGACATTTTGCACACAGACTCGTTGTGCGTGACAATTAATTTTCGTGAAAAAAATGTTCAAAAATTTTACACTGTTTAGGGAATTTAAAAAAATATTTAATTACCAATTGCTTAATGGTGGCAGACAATCATCTGACCCATAGGTGGCAGCCATCTCAAGCCAGAGGACGAGAGGACTCTAGCCACCCCGATGCCACGCATATAAAGGATTTGTAGTGAAAAACTTTGTTTTTGCGGGTTAATTTTTTAAAGGGTGAAATAAATCAAATAATAAAAACATTCTCAAACAGCACGAAGAATGCAACGGAGGTTTACCACCGGAGCGTGTCTTGAGGCTGACTGACTGGGTGACGTGCTGCGTTGTTTGTGCACAAAACGTCGTAGTATGCTATTATTTAATTTATGACTTTATCTTTACACGTGACTTTACCGAAAGAACCAAAGAATAATCCCTGCAGTCACGAAAGCTCCAAAATTAAGATTGGGCCGATACCCCTTCGAGTGCCGTACATCTCGGCCTGTTCTGTACTTTGCGCTGAATAAACAAGTGTGCCTCCAACTGCGTCGTCCAAGTCTCCCGGAAGCTACGACACGTACACTGAAATTTGGACTTAAAACTGCACCAGTCTCAGTTTCATCTTCTTGGTTCTTTCGGTAAAGTCACGTAGAGTCACGTAGAAGGGAAGCAATACGTGACTTTACCGAAAGAACCAAGAAGATAATGCATCTACATTTCGACTTAAAGCTTTCGTGAAAAGCAAATGCACTGTGGTAATATAACCGTTTTCTGAAATATTTACGGGGCATAATTGGTGTGGCATTTGTGATTTTAAACATCATATGAAATCTTCTTGGTTTTTTCGGTAAAGTCACGTAGAAGGGAAGTAATAAAATAATAAAAATAAAACATAATAAAATAAAATAATTCTCACGACGTTTCTGAGTATTTTATTTTACTATGTTTTATTTTTATTATTTTATTACTTCCCTTGTACGTGGTGACTTTACCGAAAGAACCAAGAAGATGAATCCCTGCAGTCACGAAAGAAGCTTTAAATCGAAATTCAGTCTCAGTTTGTGTCATGTTCTGTAAACAACAAATTGGAGAGGCCCACGTTGATCTTGGCATTAAGCATGTGCACACGCTTCGAATTAAAATGTACACTGTACTGTATGCATGCAACATTCGTGCAAAACGAACGCGTCGCCTGCAAGCGATCGCGACACACCAGCTCAAAACCGCTCTCCTGCCTGCCGGGAGGGACGGACGGAACGTTGTCTTTGTCCGGCTCTTCGTCCTCAGGGATGGTGGCCAGGGAGTTGGTGGGTGAGACGGGGGCTCCTGGGGCTCTCCGCTTGCTGCCACCGCCACCGCCGCCACCGCCGCCGCCACTGGGCAGTGTGCCCGGCATAGGGGAGGGCACGCACGGCATGCTCATGGGTCGCTGATGCTGCTGCTGCTGCTGCCCCATTAATGGTGTTCCGGGCATGGAGGTCTGTGGAAAACATTGACGAGTTAGCCAGTGTTTAATTTTGGAGCTTTCGTGACTGCAGGAATTATTCTTTGGTTCTTTCGGTGAAGTCACGTATGAAGATAAAGTAATAAATTAAATAAGGGCATACTACGACGTTTCGATTGCAACACGAGCAATCGACGTCGGGTATAAAAGAAATAGCGACAAAAATCTAAGTCAACAATGCTTGACTCAGGGAGGAGGACGCCCCTGCCGTGCATAGTCCCACGGGATGTCGGCTATCAACAACAAGGCAACTCCTACGACTAATTGGGAATGGGACGCAAGCGTAGGATTGATCGCCCTGTCGCTGGCCGCCTTTGGGGAGGGTGTATCGTGCGAAAGGCCGAAACACCCGAGGATCCAAAGGTTCACTGCTGACGATGCGCTCCCCAAATGTCACCAGGCTCGCTGTTCATGAACTCTTGAAAGTGCTTGCACAAAGGATAGTAACATCTCATCCTGTGTTCTTGGAATCTGAACCTACACACCTACTCACTCACCTACTCTCACCTACACACTCACCTACTCACTCACTCACCTACTCACTCACTCACCTACATACTCACTCACTCACCTACTCACTCACTCACCTACTCACTCACCTACTCACTCACCTACTCAACTCTTATTGTTGGCTATCAACAACAAGGCAACTCATGTGACTAATTGGGAATGGGACGCAAGCGTAGGATTGATCGCCCTGTCGCTGGCCGCCTTTGGGGAGGGTGTATCGTGTGAAAGGCCGAAACATTCTAGGAATCAAAGGTTCACTGCTGACGATGCGCTCCCCAAATGTCACCAGGCTCGCTGTTCATGAACTCTTGAAAGTGCTTGCACAAAGGATAGTAACATCTCATCCTGTGTTCTTGGAATTAAGGTCTCGTCACAGAGACGATCTCTCTCTCTGTGTGCCGATACGTGTTCTCTCTGTGTGTCTTTGTGATGTCTGTCTGCTTGTGTGTCTGTCTATAGTTTTATGGTTAGATTTGTGTCGCTATTTATTTTATAGCTGATGACGATGATTACTTGTGTTGCAATCGAACCGTCGTAGTGTGCTATTATTTAATTTATTAATTTATCTTTATACGTGACTTTACCGAAAGAACCAAAGAATACAGTTCGCCGGTGTTTACAAATACAACTGCAAGTGCTTTCGGCTTGCATCAACTGGGACTATGTGACGTCAAGAACTTTGCATTTGCCGACTCGATGTCTTAAAGCGGTGGCTAGCAACCTTTTTGAAATGAAGGCCACCCAATTAAGACCTACTGTCACCATGCATTGAACTGTTGGAACCACACTCGGAAACATCATCATCATCATCACTCTGGGAAAGCCATAGCAGCAGAAAGAGGACATGACACACAGGTAAGCAAAGACAGCAAACACTCAACAATGCACACCGGGGGAGTTGTTAGAATAACCAAAAGAGCTAGAAGAAGCTAGTTACGTATTCACCTTCTTTTTTTTTGGCCACAGGAAGCTGAAAAGCCCTTTCTTTTTTTTCGCAGGAAGGTCGGTGTTGTCGTGAAGGCCATGGCTCAGCTCTGTAACACAAAGAGAGCCACTCAATACGTCCACAGGTGATGGTTTCATTGCCTGAGAGTGAATATGCATATCGCAACGGGGATGACACGCGGTGAATTGGCCGTAGCTTTGCAAATGCAATACAAAGTTAAATGAATTAAGCCTTTCAGTACGTGGTCTATTTTTAAATCCTTTATATTAAGTTCGCTTGCTTGCTTGCTTACGAATTAATATTCGTGAAAAAAAATTCTAAAATTTTACACTTTTTAGGACAAAAATATTATATTTAATTACCAATTGCTTAATGGTGCAATGCAATCATCTGACCCACAGGTGGCAGCCATTTCAAGCCAGAGGACGAGAGGACTCTAGCCGCCACGCATATAGAGGATTTATAGTGAAAAACTTTGTTTTTACGGGTTATAATTATTAAATCCTTTATATTAAGTTCGCTTGCTTGCTTACGACCGTGCAAATCTTTCGGTCGTTTTTTAACCCACTTCCCGTGATCCAATCGAGCTGACACTTTCCACACAGACTCGTTGTGCGTGACAATTAATGTTCGTGAAAAAAAAATTCCAAAATGTTACACTTTTTAGGACAAAAATATTACCAATTGCTTAATGGTGCAATGCAATCATCTGACCCATAGGTGGCAGCCATCTCAAGCCAGAGGACGAGAGGACTCTAGCCGATGCCACGCATATAAAGGATTTATAGTGAAAAACTTTGTTTTTACGGGTTTTACTTGTTATTAATTGTACGACACATGGAACCCTACATAGTTTAAATTGCAAAAGATGTACTATTTTAATACACGTTCCAAAATGATTGAGGTGTTTAGTAAATGTTGATATGAACAAGCATATGACACCATACTTGTGTACGTACATTTAAAGTAGATATCTACAAAGCGTCCACATTGTTCATTGTAGCATTACTTATCCACTAGATGGCAGCGTTGTAAAGAAAAAATATCTTTTACACTTCGATTTAAAGCTTTCGACAGACCTGGTTTTCACCTGAGGACGGCTGCTTGCGTTGTGGCCGAAACGTCGTGAGAATTATTTTATTATGTTTTATTTTTATTATTTTATTACTTCCCTTCTACGTGACTTTACCGAAAGAACCAAGAAGACATTTTACACTTGTTGAGAAACGGTGACTCACCAGTGACTCACGGCCTACCCGTACCCGTAGCCGGCCGCACCAGGGTCGCAAACGGCTACCCGTACCCGGCCAGGTACGGGTACCCGTACCCGTACCTGGCCGGGTACGGGTAGCCGGGTATCGGGTAGGGTATGGGTATCGGGTACCCGGTTGCGACCTCTGGCACGAGCCCCAGCGTGGAACATGGGTGGAAAAAAACCCGATTTTTCCAGCAGCAGGCATCGGGTTCTTTCTGTAATACAATTAAACCCGATTGAGAACCCACTACCGAATTGCCCGATGATGCTGGATGCAATTACCAGCGAAACGTCGTAGTGCTACTCAAATAGTAAATGTTGTGGTTTCACGCTTCAACACACACCGGTGTGGGGGCTAAAGCAGCGAACTATTTTGTCTTTTGTCAACGTGACACTTTTTTACCGATTGGCCGTGTCGGGTGGTGGAGGGTTACGACACATTTATAAATAACGCGGCCATCTAAACCCAAACACGTTGATTGTGAATAATATTGGTCGCGAAAGCCTGCTACGTGTGAAACTGTCTAAAACAAGTAGTGATCTTAACAGTCATACTGATGAAATAAACAATTCTAGGTCAATAACCAGGAGGTTCTATCGACAAGTCTAAAACAACTGCAGAAGAGGTAGGGCTTTAATAAGCCAGCGTTATAAAGGGACCGCTGTGACAAAACGACGATTGTTTTTAGCAGCTGAAAAACAACATTAGAAACGACCTTTGCTTCTGTCCACGGCGTACACCTCCTCGACACCGAGCTCAGACAGCGAGCGCGACGCGTCGAGCGCCTCCGTCTCGCCGGCGTCCCGGAACAGCGTGGTGTGGGGCACGTGAAACCCGCACTTGTTGCAGATTTCGGGCAGCAGTGCTTGCAGGGCCACACTTGGGCTAACCCGAACTGTGGTCTTCTGCGTTCGCAGGTAGTTCACCGTCAGCCGCACCGTTTGCTGAAAAGCAAATGAAGAGATTTGAGTAGAGGATCGACAAATTGAATGCTGTGTCTTCTTGGTTCTTTTGGTAAAGTCACCACGTAGAAGGGAAGTAATGAAATAATAAAAATAAAACATAATAAAATAATTCTCACGACGTTTCGGCTACAACGCAAGCAGCCGTCTTCGTTGTGGCCGAAACGTCGTGAGAATTGTTTTATTTTTATTATTTCATTACTTCCCTTCTACGTGGTGACTTTACCGAAAGAACCAAGAAGATGAATCCATGCAGTCACGAAAGCTTTACATCGAAATTTAATTATATTTTATTATGTTTTATTTTTATTATTTCATTACTTCCCTTCTACGTGACGACTTTACCGAAAGAACCAAGAAGATGAATCCCTGCAGTCACGAAAGCTTTACATCGAAATTTAATTATATTTTATTATGTTTTATTTTTATTATTTCATTACTTCCCTTCTACGTGACGACTTTACCGAAAGAACCAAGAAGATGAATCCCTGCAGTCACGAAAGCTTTAAATCGAAATTGAATACTGTAGCTAAACATCCTATCCGTGTTTACCCTCTTAGGATCCAGCTGTCCACGTTTATGAAATTTCTCCATTTAAAAATGACATACTGCGCTAGGCTATGGATTAAGTGGGACTATAACAGGGTTACACTCGGCGGCTGGTCGGGGCGCTGTTCCCGCCAAAACGCCGCTCCCGCCAAATCGGCGGCTGGTCGGGGCGCTGTTCCCGCCAAAACGCCGCTCCCGCCAAATCAGCGGCTGGTCGGGGCGCTGTTCCCGCCAAAACGCCGCTCCTGCCAACTCGGCGGCTGGTCGGGGCGCTGTTCCCGCCAAAACGGCGTTCCCGCCAACTCGGCGGCTGGTCGGGGCGCTGTTCCCGCCAAAACGCCGCTCCTGCCAACTCGGCGGCTGGTCGGGGCGCTGTTCCCGCCAAAACGGCGCTCCCCCCAACTCGGCGGCTGGTCGGGGCGTTGTTCCTGCTGCCGAAATGCCGATCCCGCCGACATAAACGCCTGCGGAGGGGGAGTTCCGCCTGCCTGGTCCACTCTGTGTCGTGCTCCAGAGTGTTAGCGAGTTGAGGAAGGTGGTCACCACCTCGTGTGCAGTGTTATATTACTTACCGTTTAATACAGAGTGTTGCCTCAAAGCTGCGTGTGTGTGTGCAATCTAATTCGAACCCACTACATATGCATGGACCGGGCCACTTTGCTTACATGTCCATTTTTCTAATCTGCTTTGTCACTCCAAGATCTCTACACAGGGTTAGCGTGTTAGACTGTCAAAATCTATTCACAACGAGGCCACGCCACCGACTCAACGCTTTACCTCCGGGACGACGACAGGCTGCGTCGGCTTCTTGAGTCGGTCGTCCAACAGGGTTAGCGTGTTCGAGTGTCAAAATCTATTCACAACGAGGCCACGTCACCGACTCAACGCTTTACCTCCGGGACAACGACAGGCTGCGTCGGCTTCTTGAGTCGGTCGTCCAACAGGGTTAGCGTGTTCGACTGTCAAAATCTATTCACAACGAGGCCACGTCAGCGACTCAACGCTTTACCTCCGGGACGACGACAGGCTGCGTCGGCTTCTTGAGTCGGTCGTCCAACAGGGTTAGCGTGTTCGACTGTCAAAATCTATTCACAACGAGGCCACGTCAGCGACTCAACGCTTTACCTCCGGGACAACGACAGGCTGCGTCGGCTTCTTGAGTCGGTCGTCGCTGGCGGGCCGAGGTTTGATTAGCGCCGTCCCCGCACCAAGGGCCCCCAGGGGCGTGTGGGGCTTGTACCGCAGAGGCGACGCGTCGTCCCTCGAGAGAAGCTCCAGGGTGTGGCCGGCAGGGCTCAAGCGGTAGCGGCCGCAAAGCACGACCAGCACGTCCATCACCGGCTTGCTGCTCGCACCGCACCACACAGCAACACGTGGCAACAGCAGCAGCACAGACCGCAGCTCACGTCAACGTCAAACTGTGAACCCGCACAGGACATAGTAGTAGTGATAGGTTGTTACCCTTTCAACTGGTACAAAAACTGACACCTTTATACAAGGCATCATGTTTGCAATAACCTCAACACAAGCAGTCAAAATGCAAACAAAAATTAACAACTCTGATGATGATGATGATATGCACTGTCCTTGAAGTTGATTGGTCCACACCCGAGACAGCTTTTATTAGAGCCTAGTCTCCATTGGTGTTGGACCAGATGACGCCAAAAGGCGTACAACTCAAAGACAGCGCACTATCAGAGTATTGAGAGCTCGGGGTAAGCATTTACACTGAGACATCTCCTTTAGCAGTGGCAATATATAGTAGTAGGTTTTTACCCTTTCAACTGGTACAACAGCTGACACCTTTATACAAGGCATCATGTTTGCAATAACCACAACACAAGCACTCAAAATGTTTCTTTTTGTTTGCATTTCGACTGCTTGTGTTGTGGTTATTGCAAACATGATGCCTTGTATAAAGGTGTCAGTTTTTGTACCAGTTGAAAGGGTAAAAACATGTTACTATATTTTGCCACTGGTAAAGGCGATGTCTCATAGTGTAAACACACAGGACATTTTTTGTTCCTGATGATTGAGGCATAACTCGGAATTGATAAACCAGAAATTGTTAAAAGATGTCGCGTAATATTCTTACAGTATGGCTACGAACACTTGCAGATGTAGAAGGTAAGTAATAAAATAATAAAAATAAAACACAATAAAATAATTCTCACGACGTTTCGGCCACAACGCAAGCAGCCGTCCTCAGGTGAAGAATGAAACACCACCAAGCTTGGAGCGTCTATTTAAGCTGGGTTGGAGGGGGGGAGGTGGGAAGAAGAGCGCCTTGACAAAACAATTTGCATATCAAGAGGAATTTAGCATATGGAAAATGCGTAGGAGGTGGGCGGGAGGGTTTCAAATTAATATTATGCATAATGCACGGGCATAATATTAATTTGAAACCCCCCCGCCCACCTCCTACGCATTTTTATTTTACCATCCAGCCTTGTAGGACACTGAAAACAACGGAGGATGCTATAAAAACATTAAAACGATGCGTTGACACAAAACTGAAGTGTACACGAAGAATTGAAATTATTTCCCACACAGGCGGTGTTGATAACTATATACGCAGGAGGAGTCACAGTCGAATTTCATCAATTGGACATCGATCTCATGTTGTCCTCGATACGAGCACACTTCAACTCACACTGGCACATTCCTACGTCTAGATTTGAAGCTTTCGTGACTGCAAGGATCCATACGCTTAGTTCTTTCGGTAAAGTCACGTAGGTAAAAAATGAAATCAAAATTAATTTTAAAAAATCACGACATTTCGGAGGCAACACAAGCTTCCGTCTTCAGGTGAAACGGTCACAGCAAAATATCTGTATCACCTGAAGACGGAAGCTTGTGTTGCCTCCGAAACGTCTTGATTTTATTGTTTTGTCTTCTTGGTTCTTTCGGTAAAGTCACGTAGAAGGGAAGTAGTAAAATAATAAAATTATAAAAATAAAACATAATAAAATAAAATAATTCTTACGACGTTTCGGCCACAACGCAAGCAGCCGTCTTCAGGTGAAGAATGAGACACTGCCAAGCTTGGGGCTTATATATAAGCTGGGTTGGAGGTGGAAGAAGAGCGCCTTGACAAAAGAATGTGCATATCAAGAGGAGTTTAGCATATTCATGGGAAATGCGTAGGAGGTGGGTGGGGGGGTTTCAAAGTCATATTATGCCCGTGCATTATGCAGGATCAGCAGCACCAAGGGGGGTGCAGGGATTAGCAGTAACAAAGGAAAGGAATGTTAATGATATGTAGCTGCAGTTACTAAACAACCACGTAGAAAACTAAAGTATAAACTACATAGAAAAACTAAAGTATAAACTGCATAGCATGAAAGCTTTAAATCGAAATTTATTGTTTTTGTTTTTTTATAAATTTTGATTTCATTTTTTACCTACGTGACTTTACCGAAAGAACTAAGCGTATGAATCCTTGCAGTCACGAAAGCTTCAAATCTAGACGTAGGAATGTACCAGTGTGATGCGAGAAATATTTAATTATTTATATTTTATTATTTTATTATTTCCCTTCTACGCGACTTTACTGAAAGAACCAAGAAGATGAATCCCTGCAGTCACGAAAGCTTTAAATCGAAATTTATTGTTTTTTTTATTAATTTTGATTTCATTTTTTACCTACGTGACTTCACCGAAAGAACCAAGAGTACACATCCCTACATCCCCCTACCGATCCATCGCTCGATCTCCGCGGGAATGGAACGAGTGCGTGCGTGTGTAAGTCCAAGCGCTCAACGCCGGGCACACGTGACACGCACCTGCCGTGGAAACGAGACACGTGACGCTCACCACCCGGCAGAATGACGCCGAGCTCCACATTCTCCACCGGGAGAGCACCACCACCACCGAGGTCTGGTGGGTCTAAGTTGGGGGGCTCAGTCTCGGACTGCGACATCGGCGGTGCTAGCGGCGCACGGGGCTTCGTCTTCAGGCTGCAAAATAACAAAATAAAAATCTGTGGACATTGTGCTACAATGAGTTAACGATGACGTCACCCTGCTGCTGCTGCTCTATATAAGCAGCAGGGTGACGTCATCACTAGTTAGCGATGACGTCACCCTGCTGCTGCTCTATATAAACAGCAGGATGACGTCATCACTAGTTAGCGATGACGTCACCCTGCTGCTGCTGCTCTATATAAGCAGCAGGGTGACGTCATCACTAGTGAATGATGACGTCACCTGCTGCAGCTGCTGCTGCTGCTGCTCTATATAAGAACGGGAGACACAGCAGAGCCCCTCAAGATTCTGGCGAATTGTGCGATGATGATGCTGGATGCAATTACCAGCGAAACGTCACAGCGCTACTCAAATAGTAAATTGTTGTGGTTTCACGCTTCAACACACACCGGTGTGGGGGCTAAAGCAGCAAACAATTTTGTCTTTTGTCAACGTGACACTGTTTTACTGATTGGCCGTGTCGGGTGGTGGAGGGTTACGACACATTTATAAATAACGCGATCTAAACCCAAAAACGTTGATTGTGAATCAACAAGGGAGTTTGGTGTCCGGTCAGGGTTATAGCAGGCGCATTCGTTAGGTCAAGGCGAAGCCACTCATTCGCCAAAGTCAGTGGACTGGTGTTTTGGTAGAACAACGAATTATCTGCCACTTAGAGATCACAAGCAAATCGGGATTAATGCATCTACATTTCGACTTAAAGCTTTCGTGACTGCAGGGATTCATCTTCTTGGTTCTTTCGGTAAAGTCACGTAGAATGGAAGTAATAAAATAATAAAATTAAAACATTTTTATGTTTCGATTTAAAGCTTTCGTGACTGCAGGGATTCATCTTCTTGGTTCTTTCGGTAAACTCACGTAGAGTCACGTAGAAGGGAAGCAATACGTGACTTTACCGAAAGAACCAAGAAGATAATGCATCTACATTTAACCCTAACGTAAAACTGCAATTAATCAAGTGATAGGCATGTGACTGCCGTTACACACGTCACTTTCAGATCTTGCATGGGCATGGCAGAATCAGAAAGGGTTTTATTCGCCATGAAAGTTCGCACAGACAAGGAATTTACTTTGGCAGGTAGGTGCGTACATTCAACATATAGGAATCTTACATCTTAAATAAGTGGTGTACAAGTCTAACTATACTAAAGGTACAAAGTCTAACTAATACTAAGGAGCTAAAGTATGTAATAATTGCATTTTTTAAATTATCCACAAATTTAAAGGAAATTAATGTATTTATTTAGGCATTGTAGCAGTAATGCATGATCACGATGCTTTAAATAAAAAAAAAACATTTCCTATATATGAAGCAGATGGAACCAATATAGTACAAATATAGGAGCTGGATGTGATGCTTATGTGAAACGCAATTTCTACGTAAATGCAATTGCCAGTTCAACGTAACACGTTTGCCCCTTTGTTGAATGCAATTTCGCGTTCCTTAAATTGGGCAATGCTCTTTTTTAATCCTTTATATTAAGTTCGCTCGCTTGCTTGCTTAGGACCGTGCAAATCTTTCGGTCGTTTTTTAACCCACTTCCCGTGATCCAATCGAGCTGACATTTTGCACACAGACTCGTTGTGCGTGACAATTAATGTTCGTGAAAAAAAAATTCCAAAATTTTACACTGTTTAGGGAAAACAAATTAAATATTTCATTACCAATTGCTTAATGGTGGCAGACAATCATCTGACCCATAATGCCGTGCAAAGACTGCACGTGACTTGGGAGATGAATTGACAATTCACGAGGAACGGTGCAATGTCTCGAGCTGGAGCTGTATCACAAAGCCTCGCGTGGCACGTGTTGAGTACACTGCACAGCGTGTCGGTATATGCAGTAGATCTTTTACAACCATATTTAATTTAACTCTAGACTTGAAGCTTTCGTGACCGCAAGGAATCATATTCTTAGGTGTTTTCGGTAAAGTCACCGTGTAGGTAAAACATAAAAAAAAAAAAATTATTTTATTATTTTATTAATTTTGATGTTTTACCTACGTAAAGTCACCGTGTAGGTAAAACATCAAAATGAATAAAAAAAAATTTATTTTATTATTTTATTAATTTTGATGTTTTACCTACGTAAAGTCACGTAGGTAAAACATCAAAATTAATAAAAAAAAAAAAATTTATTTTATTATTTTATTAATTTTGATGTTTTACCTACGTAAAGTCACGTAGGTAAAACATCAAAATTAATAAAAAAAATTTATTTTATTAATTTTGATGTTTTACCTACGTAAAGTCACGTAGGTAAAACATCAAAATTAATAAAATAAAATTATTTTATTATTTTATTAATTTTGATGTTTTACCTACGTAAAGTCACCGTGTAGGTAAAACATCAAAATTAATAAAAAAAAATTATTTTATTATTTTATTAATTTTGATGTTTTACCTACGTAAAGTCACGTAGGTAAAACATCAAAATTAATAAAAAAAAATTATTTTATTATTTTATTAATTTTGATGTTTACCTACGTAAAGTCACGTAGGTAAAACATCAAAATTAATAAAATAAAATTATTTTATTAATTTTATTAATTTTGATGTTTTACCTACGTAAAGTCACCGTGTAGGTAAAACATCAAAATTAATAAAAATCAAATTATTTTATTATTTTATTAATTTTGATGTTTTACCTACGTGAAGTCACCGTGTAGATAAAACATCAAAATTAATAAAATTAATAAAATAATAAAATAAAAATCACAACGTTTCGGAGGCAACGGAGACTTGTGCTGGAGACTCGTGTTGCCTCCGAAACGTCGTGATCTTTATTTTTATTTTATTTTTTTATTAATTTTGATGTTTTACCTACACGGTGACTTTACCGAAAACACCTAAGAATACATATTTAATGTGTGTTCACGTGCCATTAGATGATCTCTTCCACGTAGAACAATCCTCACACACAACATTCCATCAACATCAGAGTGTAGCAGCGCCACATTAAATATTATTATGTACATTTTGTATTATTTAAGTGCGTTTATTTATTATGTTTTGATTATTATTTGATTGTTTTAGTTTTATTAATTTGTTTTATTCTTATTACTTCAATGTTTTATTTGTATTATTTTATGTTTTATTTTTATTATTTTATTGTTTTATTTTTATTATTTTAAAATTGTATTCCATCACGTTTTATTGTTTTATTTTTATTATTTTATTATGTTTTATTTTTAAAATTGTATATCACGTTTTATTTTTATTATTTATTATGTTTTATTTTTAAAATTGTATTATATCACGTTTTATTTTTATTATTTTATTATGTTTTATTTTTAAAATTGTATTATATCACGTTTTATTTTTATTATTTTATTACTTCCCTTCTACGCGCTGACTTTACCGAAAGAACCAAGAAGAAGATGAATCCCTGCTGCAGTCACGAAAGAAGCTTTAAATCGAACAAAGACACCAAACATTTACAAAACAAACGAGATTCCTCTCGCGTGCGCTTCTCAGACAAGGCCGCAGCCCCAGCCCCGCACCCCCCCGCCTTGCCTGGAAGCCCCTGCCGAGGGAGACGCACCCAAGGCGGCCGAGCTCCGCCTGCTCACCGGGGTGGGGGGGGGGAAAGGCCGTTCTTCTCGAGTAGTCTTGACACTGTTGTTGTTGTTATTATTGTTGTTTGTTGTTGTTTGTGCGTTGTTTGCTGCTCGTCTAAACAACTCTGTGCACGGTGGAGGCGAGTTTCGCCTGAGGCTTCACGAACCGCGAAATGCGTGCGGCCATCGGTGAACGCGTTGGCAAAGGAGCTCGCTGATTGGTCCAATTTGGCAGCCAATGGGCGCGCAGGAATCGTGAGCACGTAAATGACGTCACGCACCTGGGGGGAGGGGCGGGGTTTGAGAAATGTGACGTCACGCACCCGGGGGGGGGGAGGGGTTTGAGAAATGTGACGTCACGCACCTGGGGGGGGAGGGGCGGGGTTTGAGAAATGTGACGTCACGCACACGGGGGGGGAGGGGCGGGGTTGAGAAATGTGACGTCACGCACACGGGGGGGGGGGGGGGGCGGGGTTTGAGAAATGTGACGTCACGCACCCGGGGGGGAGGGGCGGGGCTTGAGAATGTGACGTCACGCACCCGGGGGGGGGAGGGGTTTGAGAAATGTGACGTCACGCACCCGGGGGGGGGAGGGGCGGAGTTTGAGAAATGTGACGTCACGCACCCCGGGGGGGGGGAGGGGTTTGAGAAATGTGACGTCACGCACCCGGGGGGGAGGGGCGGGGTTTGAGAAATGTGACGTCACGCACCCGGGGGGGAGGGGCGGGGTTTGAGAAATGTGACGTCCACGCACCTGGGGGGGGAGGGGCTTGAGAAATGTGACGTCACGCACCCGGGGGGGGGGAGGGGCGGGGTTTGAGAAATGTGACGTCCGCACCTGGGGGGGGGAGGGGCGGGGCTTGAGAAATGTGACCGTCACGCACCCGGGGGGGGGAGGGGCGGGGCTTGAGAAATGTGACGTCACGCACCTGGGGGGGAGGGGTCGGGGTTTGAGAAATGTGACGTCACGCACCCGGGGGGGGGGGCTTGAGAACTGTGACGTCACGCACCCGGGTGGGGGGAGGGGGCGGGGCTTGAGAAATGTGACGTCACGCACCTGGGGGGGAGGGGCTTGAGAAATGTGACGTCACGCACCGGGGGGAGGGGCGGGGTTTGAGAAATGTGACGTCACGCACCGGGGGGAGGGGAGGGGTTTGAGAAATGTGACGTCACGCACCCGGGGGGAGGGGCGGGGTTTGAGAAATGTGACGTCACGCACCCCAACCCGGGGGGAGGGGCGGGGTTTGAGAAATGTGACGTCACGCACCCGGGGGGGGGGCGGGGTTTGAGAAATGTGACGTCACGCACCCGGGGGGAGGGGCGGGGTTCTGAGAAATGTGACGTCACGCACCGGGGGGGAGGGGCGGGGCTGAGAAATGTGACGTCACGCACACGGGGGGAGGGGCGGGGCTT